CCCCAAAACCCCAAAACCCCAAAACCCCAAAACCCCAAAACCCCAAAACCCCATTTTAATGCAAAAATATTTAAACTAACGTAATTTTTATCTCCTATTTAAATTCTAGATTGGAATTTCGCAGTCCAGCTAGCGTCAAAGTTCTCTTTAATCTTTTGCATAAATTCTTCAGTGCTAGCGTAGTCAGATCTGTCAACATCATTGGATCCCTTCACACAGATAGCTAGATCCTTGGTCATTACTCCTGATTGGATGGTACCAATCACAGCCTCTTCGAGAAGTTTAGAGAAGTGGCCTAACTCCTCATTATCATCAAGCTTGGCTCTATGTGCAAGTCCTCTAGTCCAAGCAAAGATGCTAGCAACTGGGTTTGTAGAAGTCTCCTTCCCTTTCTGGTGGTTTCTGTAATGCCTAGTCACAGTTCCATGAGCAGCTTCAGCTTCAATACATCCATCTGGAGAGACTAAGACTGATGTCATCAATCCTAGAGATCCATATCCCTGTGCAAGGGTGTCACTTTGCACATCACCATCGTAGTTTTTGCAAGCCCAGACGTATCCGCCGTCAGATTTCATGCTGAAAGCGACCATATCGTCAATAAGCCTATGCTCGTACCACAACCCTTTCTCTTCGAACTTCTGCTTGTAAGTTGTCTCGTAGATATCCTGGAAGATATCTTTAAACCTACCGTCATACTTCTTCAAAATGGTATTCTTGGTACTCATATAAAGTGGATAATTTCTATCAAGAGCGTAACCAAAGCAGGAGTGAGCAAATCCAATGATTGACTCATCTGTGTTGTACATTCCCATTAGGACACCCTTTCCCTTGAAAGTGTAAGCTTCAATCTCTTCAACTTTTCCACCTTTCTCTGGAACAAATTTAAGGATGAACTTTCCTGGCCCATCAACTACTTTATCAGTGGCTCTGTATTGATCTCCAAAGGCATGTCTGCCAATAATAACTGGCTTGGTCCAGCCAGGGACCAACCTAGGGATGTTGTCAATAACAATAGGCTCTCTGAACACAGTTCCATTAAGGTAATTCCTGATAGTACCGTTTGGACTTTTCCACATCTTCTTAAGCTTGAACTCCTCCACTCTAGCTTCATCAGGAGTGATGGTAGCACACTTGATACCAACACCATGCTTCTTGATAGCCTTAGCTGCGTCAAGAGTGACCTTGTCATCGGTAGAATCTCTGCTTTCCATTCCTAAATCATAATACTCAATAGGAATATCCAGATAAGGAAGGATGAGCATGTCCTTGATCATCTTCCAGATGACTCTGGTCATCTCATCTCCATCGAGCTCTACAACTGGGTTGTCTACCTTAACTTTAGCACTGCTTTCCATATTGATTCTTTAATGAAATCTTATAAGCACGGGCTTTTAAATGGGGTTTTGGGGTTTTGGGGTTTTGGGGTTTTGGGG